TATGGACATCTTCCTTTCTCTGACTCATTCTCTCTCTCTCTCTCTCTCTCATACTGCAAAAAAAAAAAAAAACTTTTCTTTCAGCTTTTCATAATATGGAATCTTTATACCATTATAGAAAATTCAAAGACCAAGTGCATTACTTATCCCAAATCAAAACTTGACTTTTAGTCACAGAAAGTCATATTTTTTTTTTTTTTTTTTTTTTACATAGTTATCACGTGATATTGTTATTGGCAACGATTAGTTTGGCTCAAATTCAATGATTTCTCTGGTAAGTCACTTCCCCCTTAGACTTTGTTTTTGTAAAAAAGTAAATTACTTCTGTGTTTTTGATTATTTTTACTCCTCCATTCTCTTTTCTTAAACCTGAAAATTTTCACTCAATAAAATCCAGGTAAGAATTTGTACTTTTACATAGTATTTATCATTTACCCATTCTTAAAATTTCTAAAACAAACATTGAATTTTAATTTTCAACAAATCTGAAAAGCTTTGGATTACTGAAAGAAAAAGAAAAGACTTTTTTGCAATATGAAATAATTTGAACACTGACAAATTCCATCTTTCTACCTCATAAATATATTCCAGTCTTTCTTCTGGGATCCTAAGTCAAACGAAGAGTATCAAGAAGCAGCTAAGAACGGAATGAATGTTGACATTACCATTTTAGCCTTGACCTTTTAATCTCAAGAGACCAACTATAATACCAATTCTCTCTCTCTTCTATACAAGCATAAATGCCATTAATATTCCAGAGGGAGAACATAATCAAATCAGTTCCTCAAGGCTGGAATGACATACCTTCCTCCATTCCCTGATTTAGAGTGCCAGCAAAAGGAACAAATCCCAGGGAAGCTGGGCAAGTGGTTGGATCACATGACAATGATCTAGAGAGAGAGAGAGATAGATATATGTATATATTTGTTAGTATGATGGCAGATAGGCTATATAATTTCTAGGATATATTTTTATACAGTGAGTATACCGTTTATACATATATATATATATATTTATAAATATAGATGTTTTTTTGTTTTTTTGTTTGATTTTTAATTTTTGACAAGATCAATATGACAAACTATATAAGTCTAACTAATCAACAGCAAATAAAAGTGAAGAAGGCCTTTCTTCACCAATATAGGATTGCATATTATCTGTTAAAACATTGGACAACTAACTTGGAAGAATATTTGGCAATTTTATTGAAACACTTTTCTGTTTGAAACCCTTCACTTCTGTTTATAAAATCCATCATTGCAATAGAAACAAAGGGATAAAGATTTGCTACAGGCAAGATACTCAATCATAGGCTCAGTCACTTACTAGCATAACTGTTACTAGTTGAAGAACCAACCTACATGCAAGGCTTTCTTTCTTTGCAGAGTCTCAAGGACTGTTTCATTTAACCTTTCAATTCATAGTCTCTGGAAGACTGAAACAGAGGAATGAATTCACTTCAAACATACACAGGCATTGTAGAATCGGCTTCTCCAACAATTTACTCACAGAAGACCATCTGAAATGTGCAAAGCAGACACTGACCTTCATTGCTTACCCACCAAAAACAATTTGGTTTTCAAGCAACAACCTTTGCTTGTAGTGAACCTGTTCATTTAGTTAAGCTTAGAGATTAAAACAAAACCTAATAAGACTGGTTTATCCAGTGAACAATAAATAAGAAATTGCTAGCTAGAGTGGAGAAAGCAGACATTACGCCAAAAGAAGTAAACTCTTGACACATTAATAAGGATCCTAAATGTGATTTTGTGGCAGGGCATAAATTAATATTCAACCCTGACCCATGAGCAATGCATTTGAAGATATCAGCCATTGGGGCACAAAAGTGAATTTCTTATCCTGAGCAAAGACTGAGTTAAAGAAGAAAAAAATTTATATGATTTTAAAAAAAAAATCTTGATTTTTTTTTTTTTTTAAAAAAAAGCAATAAAAAGAAAGTTGGCAAATTGAAGGAGGGGATAATTATTATTATTATTTTTTTTGCCAAAAATATTCCACACCATAATTAATTTGTCAACAACTGCACTCTTTGAACTTCACAAAAATTTATGAAGATTGTCATCTTATTTACTTTTAACCCATTTCAGACTTCTATCTCAAAATAATTGGATGTCACACTTTCAAACATTTTTCTCAGCTTAATCAGAAACAAAACTGTCTTGAATTATTTTTAACCGCATCAGTCTGAGAAGATAAAGAAAGAAACAACATTCTTTAATGGAATCCATAAAGAATTGTTTTGGATTTCAAATAAAAGATCAACATTAAAAAGGAAAATTTAATGTCATGTAAAAATTACTTCATTCAGTAAACGACCATAATTATTATTTAGAACTAATATCCATGTTAAAGTCATTTTGTTGTCTGTATTGTTTGAAAATACAATAAGGGAATTTGAGATGAACATTTTCAAATAATTATTCACATTTCAATATAATCTAATTAATAAAATTAATGTTCTTATCGTAAAAATAAACCGTATTGGTTTTAAACTTAGAACGTTTTATGCTTTAAGAATAAAATACATTTAAAATTTTATCGAATGACAAATTAATAAAGCTTTTTTTTTTTTTTCTTCTTAAAGCTTTGTTAATATTATCAACATCAAATGTTATTTTTTTGGTTGTAATTGAATTATTCCAAACTTCCACCTTTGCCTAATCAAATAAACCATGTTGTTTTGAAAAGTCAATGGAGAAATTTCTTTTGAGTATACAATTTGGTCCAACTACACTGTCAGAAAATATAATACACTGGAATGATATTTTAAACTCCATTAAAACAAATTCTCCAAAATTTATAAAAAATAAAAAACTTGATAACCTAACCGGAATATTTTTACTTTCGCCAATCAGTGATGACAACAAAATGAATTCTAGAAATAAAAATGGCTGAAGAAGCAGTTTTGAAGCCAAATAAATGACTTTTGCACTCATTCACCTGCATATTTAGGCTTATTACTAAAACTGTGATCTCTCATCCTAATAAAGTGGGAACAATCCCTGTTAGTGAAACAGACACTCAATGACAATTTCAATATTAAAATGAGTGAACAGTTTGAATTGCAACTTTCCTATCCCATCATTTCATGTTTGTTATTATTTAATTTCCAACAAAACAAGATTAGAGAATTTATCTTGCGCATCAATCAATCCTCGCCAAATTCCTGGTCATGAGACTCCTCTTTTCTAGAATGAAATTCTCGTAAAAGACGAATGGTAGAGAGAGACCCACTCTTTGACCCACCGAAATACAAGAAATCAGAGCTGAGGGAAGACCCACTAGCATCAGGCAGAGCACTTTTCTATAAAGAAGAATAGGTATGGGAAATGCTGAAGAATCAACAAGGGAGCTAAGAGGGATTCCTTCAGAGAGACACCCAGAAACTGTCCTCTGCCCCACCCAACCAAAAAAAAAAAAAAACTGTTCATACCCAAGCAAACTTGATTAACCATTCATAGAAAAAACAACACCAGTATGGGGTTAGCTTTTTATAAAAAATAAAAATGAAAATTATCACACAATGCTTTTAGAAAAGTTCTACAGCAACAGAATATACTGGACTATTAAAGTCCTGAGTAAATTCTCAACATTTGCTTTCCATTTTGTTTCTTTTCCGTTTTTTTTTTTTTTTTTTTTTGACAGTGCTCAGGTTGTCTTATATTTTACGAGCACGTCAATCAAAGCAGCAGAAAATTGTAAATAAAGAGTCAGCTTCCCATCGGATGGACCTATACAGTTTGATTAATGGTTGTAAAATATAAAAACAACCTGAGCATTGAGATAGAATAAAAATCAAAGACAAAATGAGGAAAGAGAGAAAAAAAAAAAAAAAAATTTCAGTAAACTAAAGACGATTATGTTTCCTATGAATGAGAAAAGAAAAACAAGATGGACTCCTCAAAAAAACTGAACTTGAATTACAAAACTTCATCTAAAAGAAATCTAGACACCTGCACCTAATTCAGTTCTTAATTTATGGAGAGAGGACTCCCAAAAAAAAGAAGATGCAAAGATAGTTGCATTGGCCATGTGATGGTAGATTTCATATAGATAGGATCTAAATTAACAAAATAGCAAATTAACATTTAGAAGAAGGTCAGGCAAAAGAACAAAAAGGTAAGAAACCAAACGAGAGGCACACAATGCAAACATTTGTTTAAAACTGAATCCTACAATATCATGCATGAATCACCAAAAGAACTGCATCAGGGCAAACACAGTATAGACATCCCTGAAAGCTGAAGTTTTAGTTGAAGAAAAAAATAAAACATCTATTATGGTCTGTGGACATCAGGGAGTACTTGCTGTATTGTTTACAGACAAGATGTTTTCATTTAGAGACAATCATTTTAGAATCTCTAAAAAGGTAAAAATTATAACTAAGAAGAAAATGAAGTCCTTTTGTCGACCCATTTTTCTACCACTGCTGCTTTTGTCCAACATTGACTTTTACAAGTACATGAAAACTGAATGTACTATTTAAAAAAAACAAAAAACAAAACAGATTTTGGGGAAATATTAAAAGGCTGCCAAGAAACAAGTTACAGCATTTACACCTTGTCTCTTTAGATTGCAAAGGAGAGAAGATGAAAAAATATATCATGTCTCTTCATCCAGCCACGGATGTTTGTAATTCCCAATTTCAGTCTACGGAAAATGACGAGATGTTTGTAACAAATTCATTAACGCAAGAAAGAAGTTTTAATATCCAAAGAGCTGGAAGCATCCACCCAAATTCTGACCCCCTTTTAATAAGCTTTGAAGGTGTGGTTGGCACCTGCCTTTTAGGCTCACTCACTATTTTTGCTCCCTCTGCCTTGCAGCTGTGCTAATACTGACAATCACCTTCCTTGTCTGTTGGGAAAAAAAAAAAAAAAAAAAAAAAATTTTTTTTTTTTTTTTTTATACTCTGGGATGGATGGATGGATGGATGATTGGATGGATTGGCTGACTAAATCAAGCAGCATGCAGGCTATTTACTCTGGCTTCTCAGGATCCAGACCTGAAAAACAAAAAAAAAAAAAAAAGCAAAAGTAAATGAGGAGTCAGAGAATGCATTTGGTTAAAGAAAATGTTAAAGTTTCATTATGTTTGGTTTGTTTTGTTTTACGGCATATCAACCTCAATGGGTTATTTAATGCTGATAAAATTTTTATTGCTGGTAATATTTTTTTATTAAAAAATGTATTGCTTGTAATAATTTTTTACAAAGTATTTCTGGTATTAAAACCTATTTTTACACTTTCATAGTGTTTTGACTTCAGTTTGGGGTCTAACTATTTACCCATAGCTGGGACCCTAACAGGTGCTACCACCCCAGGTGGGAATACCAGCAATTAAGATGCTTCCATGCTCCTCAAAACCTCCCGTTTGGAGGTCTTGCTGTTGGATGTAGTTTATTGTCTTACCCAGGACACAGGTGGACCTGGGAACACCAGCAATTAAGAGGTGCTTCCATGCTCCTCAAAACCTCCTGATCAGAGGCCTTGCTGCTGGACGTAGTTTGTCGTCTTACCCAGGACGTGTTTCATTATGTATCTAGAAATATAAAAATGATGTTAAGAAACTCAGCATTCATATATTAACAGTGAAGTTATCATCTCTGAGGCTAAACGATCATGACCTTACAGTTGCAATAAAAAGCAGATGAATTTTGGCAATAATTATGGCTCTCCACAGCCTCATTTTCATTAATATCTGTAACCTATGCATTACCATGTGTGGCTTGTTTCTGGGTATGCTTGTCTGCTAGAATTGTTAGCTAATCCTTGTTGTAGACACCTGCTCAGGCACATTTTTGTTTGTTCAACATCCACAGAACCCACCTCTGGTTTATACTGCTACCATACTAAGTGAACCTTACAGTTTCTGGGCAAGAGAACACACAACAATCAATAGCTTTTGAACAGTTTTGTCAACCCACTTTCACTCACAAGTCTTAGGTCAGCCTGTGGTCTAGATTTCAGGGATTTGCCAACAATGCTGCATACCATCTCCTTGACAAATCAATCATGGTGAGATTCAAACCCAGGTCTTATGGTCTGAATGCTAATATTCTAACCACAATATTACCATGATTATTTCTATGAATTTTTGTGTTGCCTTCTCTGTGGAATTTACAATTCACTGTTGTCTTTCTCTTAGACTAGCTGACAACCAAGGCTAGAGAGCATAATCCTCCCTGTGATTTAACTCAGAGATGGAACAAAAGTTAATCAAGTAATCAAAAATTAATAATGATAATACTTTATCCAAAAAATACATTTACTTATGACTTAAGTAACAAAAACAAATTTGCTATAATCTTGAAAAATCAATGCTGAATTTGATCCTCACTGGGTGCCTTAAACTTACATAGCATTTTGCTTTGTTAATAATTTTACATATAAGGTGATAGCACAAATGGAAATCCCTCTGGTTTTGTTAAAATTCCATGAAAAATGCTGTATGACACTGTACATTATTCAAAACTTCTCAAACATTGTTTGGGTAGTAATCTGTGTGGATGGGCATGCGAGTGCCTGTGTGAACCCACCTCTCCCTGTTCATTTATCAAAGTTTTAAGTGTTTCTTGTGTCTTACCCAAATATTTCCTTACATTTACCGAAATCACTTTGTGAGGAAATAAACAATCTCATTCTCTATCATTTCTTTTTTCCTTTAGCTTTTGTGTTTTAGGCAGCACTTAACACACAGATTAGTCAATATAAGTAAAATTACTAGAATTTAAAACTAAAATAAAAGCTTAAAGAATGATTTTTCATTATTAAAAATTCATTTTTAAAACGTTGGGTATGTGTGTGTGCGTATCCTTTTGTCTGCAGAGAGATGGTTGCTGTAATTTAAGACAAATAGCCTCCAGAACTAACAAATGGTGCTTGGACATGCCTATATGCAAAATAGAGAATGAGTCTGTCGTGAAACACAATGAGCACATTTCATTCTCCAATAGGTGCTATCTAGATTGCTGAATCGTGTACTGATTGTGACACATGAGTATGATTACTTGAATGCAATCTGATATATTTAGGAATGTGTTGGTCCATTCTTGTTTCCAATCTAAGACTAGTCTGTTCTATATACTCAGATTCACACTGACATTTGAACTTATAGATAAGTGAATTCTTACTAAAATAGGACAGACGATCCTTACTAAATGAAGGAAACACTGGGCCAAAAACAACACGTAACTTGGCTGAAAAGAAAGTAGCAGAGACAGTTCTAGAAACTGTGTCACACAAAATTTTGCATCTTCTGCCAAGCCAAGGTAATTTTTGATAGATAGAACACAGACTAGGGTCAAATTTGGGAGACATATTAAAATTATTAAAATCTTGTTTCTTGATGTTTTAGTTGAGCGAAAGAATGGTACTTTTATTAGTAGTGTGTACTGTAAAGCAACTTTTACAGGTCTTTACACTAGTTGGAATTCTTTTGTTCCTTGCATCAGAAAAATAAATCTGGTCAAAACTTTAGTTCGTTGGGCTTTAATGATTTGTTTCTTTTGTACACTTCAGCAAGAATTGAACAAAATTTGTTCTATTCTCATTGATAATGTTTTTCCATCTAATATTATTGATCGTAAGATGGAATGGAAGATAGAAATTTTAATATGTCTCCCAAATTTGGCCCTAGTCTGTGTAAGACCAAATAAAAACAAACTATTCATAAAAAAAATAAAATAAAAAGAAAATATCAGATATCCTGTTTATTTGATATAAACAAACTTAATCAACTTACCCATAGGTTTCAGAACTAAGAAGGTGAGGAGATCAGACAAAGATAACATGCCTTTCACATGGTCGTCTTCATCAACAACTACCAACCGATGAACCTGGAAAAGATGAAAATAATAAAAAGTAATTATTAAGCCACATTGGAGAATAAATAACAAGAATTCAATCCTTTTAAATGCATTTTCTTCACCTTCAGTTGAAGATGACCTTTGTTACAAGTGTTAGCTTTTGAGTCTTTTTACTGAAATTGATTTTATGTCTTCAATTCATTTTAACTTTAAAGAATATATACAGGGTGTCCCATAAGTTTCCATACATATGGTTTTTAACATTGTATTTTTTTTTTTTTAATATTTCAAATAACCTAGAAGATGTGCTTGAATAAAGGTGCTTGGATTGGTTAGCATGGTCCTGTGGAGTGGCCTCCCAGATCCCCAAACCTTACCCTATTTGATTTTTAATTTTGGGGGCATTTGAAAGCCATGATGTATCAGGAAAAGATACAAAACATAAATCATCTCAAGCAACGTATCACCAATGCCATTATAAGCATAACTTCAGCTATGCTTGAACATGTTCTTCAGCAGTGGACAATGCACATTGAAGAGTGTTTTCAACAGAATGGTAGTCATGTAGAGCATATTATATAAATAAAAATGGTTTTTCATATGTATGAAAATATATAGGAAACCATTGCTCTGTCTTGTACATTGAGCTCTACCAGGATTTTATCCTCTCGGAAATATATATATATTTCGTTAATTTTCGTTTTGTGCCTGGAAAAATTTGAAATCCATTTATTGTTGAAACTGTTTTGTCTGATGAAGCAAAATTGAAATCTCGTTTTTGTGAAATAAAATATTACCATGGTTTTCTGAAGTCTCTGCTTTCTTAATTATATATATCTCATTAAAGACAAAATATAAAATTCAAAAAGCAGTGCAGAGAACAGGACTTTAGCTGATTGAGGCATCACAGTCATCCAGCAGTGAGAGTGTTGGTCTACTAGCAGCAAGATCAGTTCAATTTTACTTCTACTCTTTTGGTAACTGCTTTTATGGAGGTGCAAACCCCAATTGCACTGCTCTGATTGGCCAGCTTGACTAATAGTATTGGCTAGCCAATAATAATGTTTGACCAATGATTTTATGTCATACACCCTTGAGAGGAAGGAATCAGAATCTCACCCTGATTTGATCCGATTATCACAGGTGTCATCACCAATTCTATTTAAATGTGAGTTATATCCCTGATCAAAACAAACCTGACCTATAAAGATTTGCTTTGTGTCACTCATTCCAATAGAGTAATTCCTTTATCAAATGAAAACAATTAAGTTAAACAGACCTAAGACTGTACCTAATGACACAAACCAGATAATTCATGATGTTACATTGTTTTAACGTGAAAATATTTTTTTCTTTAGAAATAAAAAGTAGTTTGCCAGTCAACCTTTGAACCCAGTCATGGTGTTGTACTTGCAGCCACCCAAAGGAAAATTACTACTAACGGCAGAAAAATAAGCAGTTTTTGAAGCAACCTATACACTCAGCTTATATACAGCTTCAAATTCAAATTCATTTCTGATTCACTCCATATCAAAGCCTCTTGGCCAGATAGGAATGTTACAAAAGCAAAATGAAAAAAAGTTTCTATCTGTGCAGGGGGTTCTGAGCATCGCATCGGGATTTGTGCAGTAAAGAACAAGGTTTGTGAGAGAAAATCCTGACACAGTGGATAAATTTAAAGAGTACATCTGAGAAGTATTTATTGAAATTGATGCCGTTCAGGATGTGTGTCATGCTGTGTGTCATAGCGTTCTGGAGAGGTTTGGGGAATGTTGAAGGAGGACATTTTGAGCACTTAAGATATTAAACTGTGCTAAACAAAATGGAAGTATTAAACAAATGTACATAAACAGTTTTGAACAAATATGATTGTGTCAAATAAATATAAAGGGAATAAATAAAGTATTTTTTAAAAATGTAAAGAGCATACCTACTAAGTGTAAGCCTACTTTTGGCCCACCTATATATATATATATATATATATATATATATATATATATATATAATGGTAAATATACACATACATATGTAAAATATATATATATATATATATATATATATATATATTCTAAAAAAAATTTCAAGAGGATAGAATCCAGGTAGAACTCAATGTCCAGGACAGAGTAAGAATATAATAAAAAGGCTTAAACACTAATATTCCATGTCATAATTCCATTGGAATCGTAAATATGATCCAATTCATCAGACCTACAAACTCAAAAAGAAAACAGAAAAAACTCTGGAAATAAAAAATAAAATTTCAAAGAGAGTGTAAGTATGAGAGTGTGGGACGAATGTTAGAGCTATAGAGAGGGGTTATATATATATATATATATATATATATAGAAAGAGAGAGAGAGAGGACGCGCATTTATTTTGCTGGCCCTCAGGTAGCAATAGCTCAAACTATAGAAACATGAATAAACAAACATGGATTCATAGAACAAACAATAACAACTATTTATTAGAGGAAACACTTGTGATGTAGAAAAGAAAAAGTCTCTATCAGAGTAATTATTTTGTTGTGGGAACAGCAAGCAAGGGTCACACATGTAAGCTATTAAGAGCGTATTTAGTTTTAATATGTGAAGCTCGTATTTACAAATAAATCCAATTATCTATCAGTAGAGCATTAATTCTTGTATCAAATTCTTCATCCAGGAATAGTGAGTGGAAATTGCAGTGCCGGTATGTTGTGCAGATGTGTCGTTCATGGTCTGTCCATGTGGTTGCTTTCTCCATATGTCTAAATGCTAATTCTCCTCTGTTTGTATTGATATAGATAGGCTCGACTTGATCAAAAGTTTAGTTTCTTGATCTTCCATTTGATTGGCTAGATGTTGAAACCTTAATTCCAATTTGCTGGTTTTACTACTTTACTGAAACTGCGTCCATGTGTTGTTTATATTATGGCATTGAAAACATCTTTTAGGTTTTTGGAGGAGTGACATATATAGACACACACACAAAAGAGCATGCAATATGGGAACAGAGTGTTTTGGCACATGAAGTTACTGTTGTAACCTAGAGAAGATTACTGAATAGAATACTCACACAAAGGCTGGTAATGAATGATAATACTTAGGACAAGAACAACACATATAAGATTTGCCAGTGGCGTGTAAAAGAAGTAGTCAAGTGAATTACACAATGAATCTCCAACTGAAGGATATCCACCAACCATCCCACGTGGTCAGATGTGTCCCAAGGCTGAATTTAATGTGGTGTATCCGAGCCCGTAGGCTCGGCCAAAAATTCCCTGTCGACCCTGTATAAAACAGGGTCAGGTAGTTGTTTCTCGATTCGAGACTCTGCCCTTCGAGATAGCCACGTCTGGGGATCCTCTCTGCCCAGAGGCATAGAGCTTGACCCGAACAGCTGGAGACGAACATACAGTATTTACTACTGTATTGATGTGAATGGGGACATGCCTTTATCATTCATAGGTATGCTACAACAGTTACCATTTTCTTCTGTACAGCATCATGTCCCAGATTTCACACCACCAGAACAAATAAGATCCCTTGTATCAAAGACAATATTATCATTTTATACAAATACTTATTTTCTTTGACCATTTCTAGAGACATTGAAGTTCATGCTGTGCAAAAAATAATTTTCTTTTTCCTTTGACAGACTTGACCATATATGGGCAGTAATTCATTGAAGTCCGTAATCTCATCATTGAACATCAGGATGGTTTCTTTTTTTCTTTTTTCTCTTTTGCAACTCTTACTAAGAAAACATTTTTTTGGAAGATGTCAGTAAAGTGTTAAACAAATGTATATAAACAATTCAAAATGGTTAAAATAAAAAAGGGACATACTTCAGCCATAACAATCCTTTCCATTATGGTGCTAAGAGTTTCTGTTCCACGGCACTTTACAACTCCTTCAAATCCCTACAAAAAAAAAAAAAAAAATAAACAGGTTGAGGCAAAATTTTAAAATAAAATAAATTAAGTACTACTTAAATTGAGTGGTGCCACTCATGAAAAATAGGGAAGAATTTTTGTAGATTTGCATTTGTTAGAATCAAATTATTGATTCCTTATCACTCTACAAGGAGGAGAGGTGCTGTTCATAATGTAAATACAGTGACTGTATCTCTGAATTCTTAAAGAGTTATCTGTACTTTGTTTTTATTTACAAATGTCAAGTTTGCAACTGTGTTTACATCATTGATAACTGGATACAATTACAAATTGAGTAAAAGGAGACATTCGTAAGTTCTTGACATTTGTAAATAAAAACAAAGTACAGATAACTCTTTAATTCAGGGTTGATTTGATGTTGAAATTAATCTAATTTTCAAAGATAACAATTAAATCAGAATTGTAACTAAAGTGATCAAGTACTTACGGCAGTTCTATGATTTAATGCTTGTGATATCGTCACATCCAAATTGTTGTACGTCTTTTCAGCAGCAAGATTCTAGAAAAATAAAAAAACATTTCCAGTTTTATTTATCAGATCATTATTATTTTCATTGTATCCACAAAATAATTAAGCATAATTCAGTTATTTAAAAATAAAAAAAACATCCAGCATGAATTAAATCATTAGAAAGATGGACAATAAGTGAGCAGTACTAAAAATAAAAACTAGAAAATATCCCTAAACATGGGCAGTGTACAAAAACAATCTACATCCTATAGATTAAAGAAAGGATTCAGTTCTGTGGAAAATAAATGAAATTACCTGTGTGTGTTAGGTTGTGGTTAGATGTGGGAGGAGTATTTGCCATGGCTTGTTTTTCAAAGCAAGGCTGCTCTGAGCACCGGTTTTTGTAATCTTTTTACCAGGAGTGAGATACAATGGTCTGCCACCTTATTACTTAAGGTCTGCTTTCCCTCCCTTTTTTATGTGAAAGGGACTATATAAGAACAGAGTCATTTTGTGGGCTCTCTTCTTCTCTCATTATTAATTGATGCCTGACTGAAATTTGGATTGTGAGACTAGGAAGTGTTTCACAACACTTACTATACATGACCGGCTCGTCATTTACCCTTTGAGTCTAAAGGAATTTTCGACAGTTCAGAGAGCACAACTGTAACATTTTGATAACAACAAAAATGAGGATAATAGTCCACATATAAATAATAATAATGCTAAATTCTCACCCCAGAAATTCAGACAGATGTTTACTGGTAGTTTTATATATGTATCCCTTAGCTGTGGTTGAATGTTTTAGTTTAACAGCATATCAACCTCTATGAGTTATTTAATGCTGGAATCTCAATATTTTGTACATGATTTTTTGTTTTAAGATAATAATAATTTAATGATACAAGTCTTACTAATTAATCCATAGCTGGAGGAGAAGTGGTGGAGTCATACCTTTCCCATGGGTAATTGTGTGAAAGTGAATATAATGAACCCAATAGGAATTAAGACTCTGCTCTCTAATTAACAAATTTATTACACCACCCACACAACTAAGCTTGAAGTACCTGGTATTCCCAAATGGTGACCCATCTAGGTACTAACCAAGCTTAATGTTGCTTAACTTCAGTAATCATACAGGAATGGATGTTTCAATGTGACAAGTCTGTAAGCCTCCCTTAGCCGAATCCACATCAGTATTATGTGTAATTAGATGCTAATAGGTTGTCTTTATTGAATTAAATACTTTGATTGTTACAAATTACTTAAATGCATGATATTAGATTTTATTACACAAGTCAATGTTTTCACAATAAATTTGTTATTAACCAATCAATATTAGTAAAAGAATTTTCAGGATATACTTAAAGCAACAATATATAACATAAGTTTCATCTTATAACATCTATCTTTATGTAAATTTTGTTCAGTTTATCCATTAAATAGAAAAAAAAAATCAGTTAAAAGCCAACTTGTCCTACAGTTGAGTTAGTGCCTATCCCAATAATATATAAATATATATATATAAATACCCAATTAACTGCTATAAAACTGTTTTTATAAAATCAACAGAAAAGAAGAGATTTGAGTCTGTTTTAGGAATTCATAATTTCTACTCTAAACAGAAAATATAAATTTTTAAATAAAAAAAAACAAAAAAAAACACAAACTCCACTCTATTAAAAAAAAAAAAAAAAAAAACTCTGAAAGACTCTTTACTTACAATCACATCAAACTTTGCATAAATGTCGACTACTTTTCCTTGTTTGTCAAGAACGGGAAGAGCTGAAATCCGATGCTCTACAAACAAATTCAATGCTTTGATGATTGGTGTGTCTTGAGTTGCCTGAAAATGGAAAAAAAATGTTTATTCAAATTTCTTTTTTCAAGCTTTTAAGGAAATCAGTTACTAGTTGTGACACTATGATTGGGAAGTCCACAAAAGCAGAAGGTAACGGTCCTGGTTGGGATTGAGGAAATCAGTTCTGGTTGACCTTTGTCAGGAGACAGGCTGTCCCTCATATAGTTTTGATACCGACTGTTCATATTGCCAGCCACATCTGATATGCAGGTTGGCAGAGAGTTGGTAGTAGGGAAGAGCAGAGCAGTTAGATGGACGTGACAGAAATTGTTCCAAGAGTCACCTATCCACCCAGACTGAGCAAGTAAAACCCTGAAAACAGAAATGCTTTCTTTAATAATTACCTAAGGTGTTAAAAAAGTGGATCTTCAATACTAGGCCTATTATTAATATTCTTTAAAGCTTGTATCTTAATTGTGAAACTATGATTGGGATATCCACATAGAAGTAAAAGGCGTGATTTTTATCTAGACCTCAAGTATCTCTGTTTTATGGCCTGCAGATGGAGTCTTTGAAGTCCGGTCTTGACCAAAAGTAAACACATGAATAAATAAATAAAAGAAAGCTTTTGGGATCAAGTGACAATAAAACCAGACATTGTTGAATTCTGGTTGCTAGTTGTATATTAAGTTATACTCAGTATGGAGAAAGACATTTTTGGCTTGCCCTGGTCAGGGGACAGACTATTCTTTGTGCAGTTCTGATGCCACCCATTTGTGTTGCTAGCCACGTGTGATGTTGAGATGAACAGAAAGTTTGTAAGTGAAGAGTCAAAAGTAAGAGCTGATCTGTTTGACTAACATGGCTGAAGCTGTTCCAAGTGTCACCTACCTACTCATTCACCCAGACTAAGCATGTGAAGGCCTGAATAAAACGCCTAAATATATTGAAAACAGTTCTCATTTTTTGCCATAGCATTTATTTTCATTTGATTACTTGTGAATGTGTAGTGGACAATTCCCAGTTTTTGTTTTCTACCAAGGCCAATGTGAAACAAGATGCATTGTGGTGTAGCCATTGGTAGTCATAACAATACAAAGAATTTATTGTTTTCATAACAATACAAAGAATTATTTCTTGATCACCCACTCATAGAAAAGTGGGTTTTCTAAGGTCGTTAAGGGGGAGATTGAAAACTTAGTTGTGTGTGTTTGTTTGACAGCTCAGCAAAATGTTGTTAGAATGAAAATAGTGGAAGAAGGAAATTAAACATTAGGTTTTTTTGGTTCTTTATCATGAAAAGACACAAAGAGATTGTATAAATGTCATAATGATATTTAAATTACTTACAGTAATGATATTGTTATATGTTCCAATGTTAAGTTCGTCCAAAGTTTGGTTCATAAAGTCTGGCTTAGGGAGGTCATTGATCTATAAGAAAGGAAAAAATTAATATAACTGCCATATTCGCCCAGAGAAGTTTGCATTAATTCATGAATACTCACAATACATTTCTTTTTAGTTTTCATTGCCTTTTTTTTTTATCATTGGCAATGCCTGTGTGTGTGTGTATATATGAGAGTATATGTATTTATGTATGTACAACATCTAAAAACATTCCTGTCCACCTTCACAATACAGGAAAATACTTAACAATACCAATATGTTACAGCATGAAAATAATAAAATTCTCGAGAAACTATATCAAAATCAACCAACACTCAACAAAATTTATTACAAATATAGCAACAACATATTAAAGTGCATATAAATTTAATGCAATTTTATATTTCTATTAATTTCTGGTTAGTTTCTTATATTGAAATGCTTCTTTTGCAAAAAATTCCATAGCTACAACGGATAAATTTACAATTTTAAAATAATTAGAGTGCATTCACACGTGTTTTTAAAAATCACTACCACAATGGAATGTAGATTTTATCTCAGTTATAATAAGTTTGTCTTTGTAATTTACCCCTAAAGATGATCTTGGAAAAGATTAAAAGAACTTGGGTTAACAAAAACTACGGTGCCTTCCTTGATGAATTTCATTTATACATGAAGAAACTGATTAGAGAACTAGAAAGAAAGGATCAATATAAAAATAATATAACAATATGTCTATATTATTCAATGAAACATGTTTGAACGAAGATATGCTGCCTATATGTGTATATATGTATGTAAAATCTGGTGGTGCAAAAAAATTTTTTTATTGTTAAATTTAGTTAAAACTAAACACTCCTAATACGACATAAGTAGTGTTTAGTCTTAACTAAATTTGAAAAGACTATTTTGGGTTGTACTATGACAGTTATTATATCAGCATGCAGTTTTAAAAGAATTGTCAAAACTGACATTTTTGCTGATTCTAACACCAAAGATAGAAAATAAGAAACATTTTTGGTATTTCATGTTTTTTTTTATTTATTTTATTCTAAATCTATTTAAAAAATACAAAAGCCATTGTTTTTGTATAAGGTATTGTGAGTGAATATGCAGGTAGCACAAGGGTTATCAGCAGAGAAAATAAAATTGGTGAGCCAAGTTCCATCACTTCTCCCTCCACCTATGAGTTAAATATTAGGGAAGACTTGGCTCTCTAGCCTTGGTTTGCAGCCATTTTAAAAGAAGGCCAAATTTAAATTTAAAAACATGGAAAAGAAAACAAACATTGCATGAAAAAATGAATGATTAATTTGACTTGAGTGAGTCAAAATTAGTTTGGAATTTTCAAATTTATGTTAAAAATTTTTTCAAATGAGTCTCCATGGTTGACCAAATGAAGTTGATAGCAAAAAAATGAAGACATTGCAGTTTTTTTTTTTTTTTTTTTTACCTATTGGCATTAATTCATATTTATCTATACCTATTTTCAGAGCTAAAATTCTATCTTCAACAAGATTGACCATAAATTAATCTATTGACATAAAAACATCTACTTTCATACATTTGGAGAAGAAAAAAACAAGACACTAGTCACCTGGCCTATTTTCCCATGTTTGTCTGAATAGAGAAAGCTGTTTGTTTTGGTTAACTTTAACTCCAAACCTTTTCTAGAGATTGAAACCAATAGCTGTGTCTTTTTTCTTTTATAAGGAAGGCCAGCTATTTACTGATTTAATTTTCCAAAAATACTAGAAAACTTTTTTCAAGGGTTGTCTCCCTTAGACCAATTCAAAGAAAACCTGGTATGATTTGAGGAGCTGAATTTCTTCTTTCAAAAAACTATTCTATTTACAGATAATCCTTTCGCCAAATGAATTGTCTCAATTCTATAAAAAACACTTTAGAAAATATATACACGAATTCCTCGCTTAGTGCGACTAATGTGTACATTAAAAGATATGTACTAATTGAAAATGCATTAATCAAATATAATAACTTAAAATCAATTGTACCTCAAATCTTAGTCTCATTCACATTTAATTTCTCACTTGTGTACTTTTTAATTAAAATATAGGTACAATAAAAATACTATGAATTAATGTTTATTAATCTGATTTTTTATGAAAATCTTATTTAGAGTGATTTGTCACAGTATTTTTTTTTGATATAATTAGTGGTGATGTGAAATTATCCCTTTAAATTTTCCAAAAATATCATAATCATTAATATTTTAACCTGAAAATTTTATTTATAATTTTTCCATAGAAATGGAAAAATTATAAATAAAATATAGATCTTTTATATTTTGATATATTTTTAATAAATGTAAATTTCTGTATGTAATTAAATTGTTCATCTTTTTTTTTTTTTAAAAAAAAAAAAACAAAATCAAAAATTTCCTTCAAAATAAATGTCAAAATATTAAAAAAATTATGAGAGACAAATATTAAAATATTATTAGCTTATATCATAAAATTTATCTTTTTATAACTGTCAATTTTTTTTGAACACTACTGTAATTATTTAGATAATGTAATACTTGACAAACAAAATACTTATTATAACTATTTTCCATTTTTAAATTTTTTTAATTAACCAGTAACTAAAAAACTGGTTAAACTGAAGACTGTTTTACCGCATTAATCGAATATTATGTATGCACTAATCAAATTTTGGTATATAAAAATTTTAACACATTAATCAAATATGCATGTGTGTATGTGTTTGAAATAGGAGCAGGATTTGCTGTATTTGTTACAGGTCAGAGGATTTTTTCCAGTGCATAACAGGAACAATTGTTCAATTGATGAACTTATTTTATAATTTGTCTCCCCTTGTTTACAAATTCAAGTTTTAGCCTATTTAATATTTAATATGTACTAGAAATGCCTTTGAAAATTTCAGATTCACTATTTTTCTCATTCTGAATCAATTCTTAATAATTGAATAAACTCATTGTGTGTTCCATGGAAATTTACCTGTTGAATTGTCAAATATTTAACAATATTTTAACTAATATCACAATAATAAGTACGAATGCAGGTCATTATTCAAAGAAGGTACAAATGAAAAAAGTTTTTAAATTGACAAGATTTTCCATTTCATTGAAGCAGATTCTAAACATTATTGCACTTCCTTCCTTTTTCTATTCCTTTCCCTAAAACCAAACAACAATATTCTTTCATCTATCCTGGCAACCAAACAGGAATGGCCCATCGCTTATCCAAGGCAATGGCAAAGCTTAATGTACATGCTACTAAGGAACAAGCAGAATTATAATAGGATGCTAAAATTTGAATTTATAAAAGAAAGAATTTCTCTCAAATTTTAAAAAACTTCCTGCCATTTTTCCCATTTCCTTTACATTTTTATTTAATCTCCCACCCCATGTTACAGTGTGCTACCCACTAATTTCTGGAAAAGGTGATTTTTTTTTTGTTGCCTTCATTATAAAGGTATTACTTCAATTTATTTTCAAAACATTTCCTTATTGCAATAAGGATTTTGTTGACAACATTATTGACTTGATTGTTATGCATTCGATTAATGTGTTTTTGATTAGGGCACTAAAACATTCTTCAGTTTAACCATAGTAATTGAAAATTTATTTTTTATAGTTACCAATGTACAAATTAGCTGCACTAATTGAGGAATTCCTATATATCTCCAAATAAGAGAAAGAACAAATGGAGTAAAAATCCACAGTTTGTAGAAATTTACTTTTAAAAAAGTGCTCAATACAAAGTAGAGCAAAATATTATAATACTATTTTTATTATAAGTGATTATAATAAAAACATTTTAAATCGCTACACAGATGTTTCAATCCATCGTTTGAGGAAGTGTAATAATTGTATTGAAACATGAAAGCTTCTGTGTAGTGATTTAAAATGTTTTTATTATAATTTCTTATAATATAAAAATATTATATATATAAACAAACATATACATGTTTCATTTAGGACAACTGACAAGATAGTGTGAATAAGCTTTTTATTTAATTTCTCTTGTATCCGTAGTTTCTTTTCTTTTATACAGAACATTTAGGCAATATTTACACACCTTATATCCAGAAAAGAAAAACTTATACAAACACAAGAGAAATTAAATAAAAAGCTTAATTGCAGTACCTTGTCAGTTGTCTTTAATAAAACTTTTATAAAATACACAATTACAAACACACACATATATATATATATATATATATATATTGTAATAAAAAGAAATAACAGTAAGATATATTTTATAGTTGTAGTTCAATATAACATATCCTAACCCAAACAACCCTTTTAGAAAGAATCTTTAAGTATACAAGTACAAATTTAATGGGAAAAAAATGCTGAAAACTTTTTTGTCGTTGATAAATAAACCCCCAAAAAACTCAAAAACAGACGACGTGTTGAACAGATGTCAAAATTCGTTGAAAAATGCACCCCTACCATCCTTTGATTCAACCACTTTTTCGAATATAACTCATAATTGATACAATAATAGTTAATAAAAATGAACACGCTACTGCCCCTGTCTAAATGATTGGACTTCTCTGTATCCTTAGAAACAAAAAAATTATGAATTGTATGTGTGTTTAAAACTCAGTAAATTTAAAAATAAGTTATTCCAAAATTTGCTTGATGAAACAGAACTAATGCTTTTAATTTAAATTATATAATTAAATTTGAATTTTTTAGCTGAGAAAGATTGAAAATTAAATCTACATTGTCTTTATTTAATGAAAACAATAAAATGTTTATACTTACATAGAGATACATAAACCTAAGAATCCGTTTGTGGGTTAAGATATAGATAGCATTGCCCGTGGCTTTGTCAATCACAGGAAGTCTATGAACATGATTCATTATTAATGTCTTGATTGCCTCAAAAAGACTGGCATCAGGTTCTATATGGACAAATGGTTTTTGTTTATCCTTCAACACTTCTGCAAGAATAAAAAAAACATGGAGGAAAGAAATTAAAGACCAAGATTTTCATCAGAAAAGTGGAAAAAACAACAAAATTATTAAAAGGCAAGCAATGATGATGTTAATGTATTTGATTAAGAAAAATTTCTGTGGAATTTTTTTTTTTTTTCTGTAGATAATGTTTTTTTATTTTATTTCTTGGGCAAATATGAACAAATATGCCCACAATAAGATGAAGTGTTAAAAGGATGATTTTCCTCAAGACCACATTTTTATTTTTTTTAAGCTACTTTCATTCTTTAGCAATGTTTATTATTTTAAAAAGTGATGATTAGAATTGTAATAAAAGCTGAATGTAAGTGAAAATATTAATTTTCTTTGTTCTTGAGAATTGACAACAAAATTGTTTATTTACAAGAATAAATTTATATTATACTAGCAATCATACCCAGCTAGTCGATCAGAAAAAGCGTTCAATTAGAATGGAGCTAAAACAGTATCATGTTTCGATGAAACAGAGCCTATCTTCTTCAATTACTTTAAAGTACTTTCATTAAAATACATTTTGAATTAATACAGTTACTGATATAACAGAAGTAGTCTGTATTTATTTAATTGAAGTTAGCTGAGGACATGAAGGGGTAAAACAGGCAACATGAAGACCCACTTCAGGCCACAATTATTTTGGAGTTTTTGAAATTCAATTTATCAGTGTGCTACCAGAGATGTAAAAGAGGATACATTTACAAAGCAATTGATAAGTTTGATGAAAATTGGTTGAAAGATCAACGAAAAATAAGAAAGAAACCAGTAAAAATTGCCATTTTCGCTATTTACGCAGGTTTTCACTATATGAATGGACTCAATTATCAAGTTAAACGACTGTTAAACCACCAACTTATTGTTAGCTACAACTGAAAGAAGTTTGTATTAGATTGCTTGAAAACTGAGGGAGTTTTTAGTTTAAAATTGTTGTTGAAATTGATTTTTCATGGTTTTTCACTAAACGCAGTGATGTAGGAATAAAAATGAGGTATCGTTGAGCTCATCATGATGTAAGTAATCTACATGCCGACTTTGAATGAAATCAGAGGAAAAAAGTTGAATTTATCGATTTTTTAAAAATTATAGATTTTTACGCTAAGAACCTATCTCATATAGTATGTGCCAAATTTGGTCAAAATCGGTTGGATGGATCTCAAGTGAAATGGTATCACATAGACAGTCTTAACCTTGCTGGTGGATGTAATGTCATTTGTTATGATTCTCCAACTAGCCTTTTTTTTTAGTTATTAATGTGTCTGAATGCAATGCTTGTGTGACAGTCTTTCTCTCACATATATATATATATATATATATATATATATATATCAGAGCATTAATGGCAAACGGTCAGCTAATGTGATGTGCTTTAGCGATTTAGCCACAGAGGAGTGTTTTGGTTAGCGATTTTACTGTTTTTAAACTACAATTCTCCATATGAGAGAAAATCATGGAGAATTGTAGTTTAAAAACAGTAAAATTGACCTTGCTAACTGAAACGCTCCTCTGTGGCTAAATTGGTAAAGCACGTCAGGTTTTATGATGGTTCGTTATAGGATACAAGCTCAATTCCTGTCGGAGGACGCATATTTTCTATGAAAATTTTTCAGACATTCAGGGCAGTAAATGTCATTAACACTGTTTATTATAAATGGAGCATTTACTTAAATATAAAAAGAACGTATAAACATAAAAAATGTCTTAAAAATATATATATATATATATATATATGCTTTAAACTTTTAAACTGTAATGTTTGTGTGTCTATATGAGTTTTTGCTAAAAACTGCATGTTTCAACCAAGAGCGGTTAAAAAAATCAGTGAGTTATATTTTGATTCTGAATAGTGAGTTGGGCCCACAAACATTTCAGGCACTATAGTTTTGTATGCGTCTGTTACTATAAATGTTGATTAAATTAATGACAACCATCCTGAATTGAGAAGCCCTACTAAAGAAAAATTCTGCCTCTTGACAGGAACTGAACCTGTATCACACTATTCTTCTCTCTCTCTCTATATATATATATATAGTACACCAAGTTTCTTGCATTTTATATTTATAAGTAAATATGAAAATTTAAAATCATACATTATTATTATTTGCAAGAATTCATCCTAAAGGTCATTTTCAAAGCATTTTTCCTCATGGGAAAGTACATAGATATTTTGTACTCTATCATTTTGTAATATGGAAGATAGCAAACCCATTAGTAGGTAGAAAAAAAAAAAAAAAAAAAAAAAAAAAACTTTTTCTTTTAAATGAGAGAAAAAAAAAAATTTAAAAATTAAAGAAAGGGCATGTACCTCTCCAGGTATCAATTTTGTGTTCCTCAAGTTCATCCATGTGTACCTGCAAAAAAAAAAAAAAAAAATTAATATCTCAAATCACAAAAGCAATTATCATTCATTGTTGACAAGTTTATACATTGATATATTCAATCTATTGTTCTGACAGACAGTTTATCCACAACTTTGAACACAATACGCAACACCTTAGTCAAAAATTTGAAAAATATGATAAAAAAATTAAACAGACTTTGTCAGTTCTTTTTTTAATAAAATTTGTTTGGATGAATACTTGTTGCATATATATATATATATATATATATATATATATATATATATATATCTCCAGGTAAGATGAGAATGAATAGAACAGGGGTCAGCAACCTTATGCTAACTATGTGTCGACTTAGGGTTTGAAAATCATTCAGTGTGCCAATAACAAATATTTTATACAACAAGTCAAGGTCAATATACCTGTTCTACAATATATTTTAATTTATTTCAAAAGTTGCACAATATGTGAGTATATATTTTATTTTTTATCGGAACTCCCTACAAATGTTATATATTTAATAATTTTGCTACAATTTCATAGTGTGATATTAAAAATATGAATTTGGGAAAATATTGTGTTGTAACCAAGGGAAGGTTACAGAATAGAATAATCAAATGAAAGTTGGTAATGAATGATAATACTTAGGACATGAACAACACATATAAGATTCATGAGTAGCACATAGAAGAAATAGTCAACTACTAGAAGTGAGACAAGTAAATTCCACAATGAATCTCCAACTGCAGCCCAACATACAGTATTTATTACTGTATTTATGTGAATGGGGACATACCCATTATTGTTCGTAGGTATGCTACAACATATTGATAAACCACCTTACCAGTTGAATAGAAATTTTTTTTTCTTTTTGTTTAGAAAAACTAGTTCATGTACATTAGTAAACCCATAGCATTGTGCTAGATTAAGTCTTGCACATAATTTGAATTGATTAAATAATTTTCACAGCCAACTTCTGCTTGGGAGACAAGATCAAAGAAATCAGATTTTGAGAACTTACCAAAGGAGATTTGTAATACTTTTGCAGGATGCTAATAAAATCTGTAATGGTAAGCATTCCTACAAAAAAAAAAAAAAAAAAAAAAAAAAAAAAAAAAAATAAAGATAAATAAAACAAAAAAAGTTAAAGACACAGAAAACATTTAACAAAAATATTCTCAATACAATATTAGGACTTTTTAATGTGTTATAAAAAGAAATAAATTCATTAATACAATGTGATACTTAAAAGTTTGGGGAGTTTGTACAGTACATGCAAACAACGTAGTAATGGACTTTTACCACTACCCTTTGTGAGCAGTCATGCGTGCAAAAGCATGTGTGCAAAAGGTTGACAAGAGATGATACTTCAAAGGAGAGAATGGAAACTACCTGAGATTATTGGCTAAATTCCCTATGGATGTGTATTGTGGCGTAATGGATATTGGCTTGGGGTAAGAACTCTGAGAGCTGAGTTTGAATTCCAGTCGAGTTTGTTAGATTCATTTGTGCACAAATACCCTTGGAAAAGGTATTAATACATCTCTTTCCTCCAGATTATGGGTTGAATAGCAAGACAGACTGGGTTCTTTAGCCTTGGTTGGTAACCAGTTTACTGCAGAAAGAAATGGCAACCTACTGCAGGAAAAATTTGTCTCATCAGTCATATATCGAAAGATACATGATCGCCAAAGTATGTATTATGTATGGCACTTAAGTGACTGACTGAAATTCCCGAAATTTTTGTGGGTAGCATTTTGCAAGGATAAACACAACCACGGTTAATTATATTTGGGACCAGCTTGGTTGCAGGAGTTGTTCAGATGGTTGTCAATGTTGGCAGCCAATTGTCTTCAGGTCTTCACTTTGGATTTTCTGCCTGGATTTCCTCTATAGGATTTTTTTATGTTTGTATATGGCTGCAAGGTAGCAGAGGTTTAAAATCAGGGTTTTTATTCCTCGAGATAGATTGCCCTTGCATGTTGATGAGCTCCATCTACCTGAAATTGTGTGTGTGTGTATATATAGAGACATAGGAATCAACAATTCATGGTGATTTTTAGCTTTATGCTTCAATGTTATATTCAAGCTAAATCACTATCAGACACATATATAAAACACAACGTGTGTTTGCGTGTAGATAAATTTTGGGTGGTCAATAAGCCTTATAATTTTTCATCTTGTTCATACAATAAAAAAAAAAAGAAGCTTTTTTCACTGAGAACCTTGAATAACTGCATTTCAATTGAACCAGACAAGATCTGTCACCTGCCCAAATGTTGTGGCGAGGAAAAAATACTACCAAGAAATTGGATTGTTCTGAAATGAACTCAGAACATTGAGAATTCTAGAGTAAGTTATTAAAGTTTGAATGAAGGTAATTATTTTCTTTCTAAATCAGTGTTAACTATACTGACTCTTACGGTCCTACCTAGGATTGAACTCATCATCATTGACTAACAAATTCCTGAAGCTTAGCACTTCTAAGCTTAAAGAATGTGGCAGTAACTTGTCTCCCTTCCTGCCAAAGTGGATTTAGCCTTTAGGCATTATATATGTTTATTGAAATTTCTCCTCAGTGAATATTTTTCTCTCAGTTTATTGAGCAAGATCCTGTTTTAACAGTGTATCCCAAATATTTTTTATTCACGAAAACTGGGTAAAGTTTAGAAAATATATTAAATTTAATAAAAATTTCACAAACTGAGAGCTGCTCTACCCTTACTGGGTGAGAATTTATATATGCTCTGCCTTAGCTATGCTAATTAGGCAATCACTACAGGGAGAACAAGAATTAGTCAAGATTTAAAAAAAAAAAAAATTTTTACTCACCAACATAGTCTTGTTTCTCACTATTCCATAAAGGTGCAGCACGGACTCCGTTGTAGACTAAAGCAAAAAAGGCTTTCTTCACCTGAAAAGAAATTACAGAGCAAGTCTTACACAAATGATATATTATATACCGGATGTAACAGCAAAATTGTTCAAATCATGTAACAGCAAAATTGCCCATCCCACAAAATGTTTAATATCTAAAAAACCACTGAACTAATTGAGTTTCTTTATTCCAGGTTTTCAGATAAGACGTTCAACCATCTTGACACCATTTGTCGTAAGAATCACCGAAAAACCTTTTGAGTTATTCAGCTAGAAAGAGAACAGGTTAGATCAGTTTGTGTTACCCTAACTGAACAATGGTGAGAGGAAAAAGACCATTCAGGCTTTCAGTAATGGTACCAACATTCATACTCTGGCTTCCATCTTCAAAGTCTGTTCAAGAATCATCAAGAGAAGGGTAAATAAGTTAAAAAAAAAAAAAAAAAAAAGAAGAAAAAGAGGGAATAATAAGAGAAGAATGGTGGAGTAATGGATAGCGGCTTGGATTGTGGAACTGGAGAGCTGACTTCAAATTCCAGTCGAATCCATTATATTCACTTATGTGTTAATACCCTTGGGAAAAGTATGAATCCTTTTCTTCTCTTCTATATATGTACGCATGTATGTATGAAGACTTAATAGATTTATTTTCAACCCAGCATTTTTTATTACTTCAAATGTTAGTGGTAAAGCAAAACAGACCAAAGGGGAGTTCTTCCTACAAAGGAAAGCACAGAATTGATTCCTTGTCATAAAGTGCATTTTCTTTATTAAGAAATCTCAACTACATAGGCTGATAGACCCACTGCTTAAAGTAAAAATAAAAATGGGCCATCCATTATGAGTATCCACTAATAACAGGAGTGACCAAACTTTGGTTTGCAAGGCACATGTGGCACTTTGACCTTTAATGTGCGTCTCATGGAAATATGTTGGTTTGATCTGTTTTATGATATATCAACCTCAATGGGTTATTTAATGCTGACAAGATTTCTATTGCTATTAATTTTTTTTCTCTCTAAAAATGTAGTGTTGGTAATATTTTTTTCAAAAATGTATTGCTGGTAATAATTCCCTACCCCCCAAATGAATTACTGGTAATAAAAAGATGTACTGACAGTAATAATTTTTATCCAAAAAATATTGCTGGTATTAAAACCTATTTTTAAACTTTCATAGTGTTTTGAACCTTTGGTGTGTGTGTGTGTGGGGGGTAACTATTTGCCCATAGCTGGGACCCTGACAGGTGCTATCACCCCGGGTCAGGGTGGACCTGGGAATGCCAGCAATTAAGAGGTGGTTCCATGCTCCTCAAAACCTCCTGATCAAAGGCCTTGTTGTTGGATGTAGTTTATCATCTTACCTAGGACGTGGATGTAGTTTATCGTCTTACCCAAGATATGAATGTAGTTTACAGAACAGAAATATGTTGGCTGAGCTTCTTTTTCCATCAGTTAAAAGGTAAATAAGAAAAATTTTCAATTTTCTGAACTTTATTGTATGTGTCTCTTACATTAAGCAAGTTTGGCCAACCCTGCACTATAATAACGTTTGAAGTAATAACAATAATAATATTTACAAATACACTCGGATCATTGCCCAAATTCTGAGCACTATTTTCTCAATGTTGTTGAAAATAGTGTTGTTTTTGTAGTGAAAAGTGACTATTTGCAGGATCTTTGGCCTAATTCTTGAATTCCTTTCAAGAATTTGGTCAATTGACAGAACCACATCAATGGAAGGTGTAGAATTTTCAATTGATTGAACTCCAAGCCATCATAAAGTTCTTGTAGAAGGAAACTCTAAAGAAAATCTGTTAATTCATCAAGCAAACATTGGGTAGCAATGGTGTGTTAACTTCCAGCATGGAGATTTTGAGACCCAAGAAGCAGCATACACTAGAAGACCTTCAATCATGTCAACTCCTGAAATTGCTGATCATGTTCATTACCTAATTTTGAGCAGTTGGGTATGCAAAAGTTGTCAGCCAAGTGGGCGCTAAAAAGAAGTGTGAATGTGTTACAAAGTAAACATTTCCAAATTCATTTTGCAGTATCTTCATCAATCTAGTTTTTCACTTTTCATAATGGCTTTTCATTGTTGATAAAACATGATCTGTTGAGCAAACAGCAGTTCATTTTGGGTTCTCCAAGAAATATAAGATCCAAAAGTCAGAAAGAAAATATTATTTTCAAATGATTCAGAGATGATTCCATCAGAAGACCAAACATCTGAATTTTTATTGGAAGGTTTAAAGACCAAACATCTGAATTTTTATTGGAAGGTTTAAAGAAACTTGACAAATAATGTGTCAGGTGTGATGACTTACCTTTGGAGCTTGAAACATGTGCAAACGTGTCTTGCTTGCATGATAAATCCCAAAGAAAATATGGCTACTGTCGAAGACGCAATTTATACGTGCCGGTCTTGTCCAAAACGAGATTGTACCAGTACACATGCAAATTTCAGCAGTGTCAGACTAGCATAAAAAAGGCGAGGAGGCATGGCAGACGGCGAGTCATTCGGCGGATGTCGTGAAACAGAATTGGACGTGCGAATAGACTGGCAGACCAAGAGGCGGTTGAAGTAGGCGCGTTTGATTTGGGTGTCCGTTTCACGACTGCCCGGTGTAACGGCTGAGAAAAGGAGTCTCACAATTCATTTCTTTGAGGCGACCGACAGCAAAGAATAACAGCTGGTTTGCCGGCAAACCCTCTCATCACGTTTTTTTGTTTTTCTCAGGTATGTAGAATAGCATGTATGCTTCATCACTCTCTGCTTTCTTGGTTGGGCTGACAAATTTTCAGCACTCTCTTGTATATACATGTAAATGCAGCAGATGATAATGGTAATATTAGCCATTCCCTTATAAAGAAACATTTGGCATTCACTGATCGAAAGCCCAGTGTCTCTGCTCATTGAAATTTCTAAAATCTTTCTCTTAAAACAATTATTCAGGAAAATAAATTTCTTAAGGGCACTGTTATCAGTCTTTTAAATATTGATGGGGATTTTCTTTGTAACCTTTTGCTTAAAGTAGTGCAGAATGTCAATATCTTGATTATGTCAATATTTTCCCTTTCAGTTACATATACTATTCTTTTTAGTTGTCGCTGCTGTTGAAAGTCATCAAGTGATGAGGTTTCTGTTATTTGATACAGTTCTTTGGTTGTGATTCTTTAGCACTAGTCCATGAGGGGCGAAGAAGGATGGTCCTCACTGATACTGACATGCTTCACTTGCTTTTGAAGCCATTTTTAGCCATAGATCTGAGAAAGCACTTGTATACAGCTGACAATTTAGATATTTTGGAAAAAGTTTGGTAACATTCATGGTGTAGCTTTACATTCCTTTCCATACATTTTTTTAAAATAGACAATGAATTCACATATTTACACACACACTGAGAAAAAAAGAAAGATAATTTCTTGGCTTACCATTAACTGCGTGTCAAATATCACAAGTTTGGCACTTGTAGGAATGAGGTCATAACATTTGTGGGCACGCATAAATTTGGCAAACACCTGTTTATGGCTTTCATCTGGACAATAAAAAAATATAAACATATGTCAGAATTTTAATACCAATAAAAATTAATAAACAAAAAAAAAGATATCAAATAATTGCATATATGCACTGTTTTTTGTTTTTAACTGACTCTCTTTAAACAGTTTTCAAGATCTTGAACTTTTGTTGACTAATATTTTCATCATTGTCATATTTAACAAAGAAATAATCAAGGAAGAAGACCTGCTAGAGCTTTATATCAAGACAAAACAAAAATAAACATTTGAAAAGCTTCATTATTACTTTCATTTCAATGCATTCTAATGTCTGTTTTAACTACTTGGGCCAAAGTTAAGTAGTACCAAGTACTTAGATGTGGGGCTGCTTATGAATTACTGTAAGCAACCTTCTACAATCCCAAATATAATTTGGTTTTAAATAACCCAAAGGGTTGATAAACTGTAAAAAACAAATCAAATTTAACCACTTGGAAGCAGCTGACAAGATACAATTCTTTATCTCAAATCTGACACTGAATCAAATATTGACTCCAGGCAGTAAGGAATTACTATAAGCAACACTTGTATCCTGTCAGCAATTTCACATTTTTTAAAAACAACTGGAAGAAAAAGCTTAGACAGCATTGTTATAAGACTGATTCAGGATATAAAGAGGCCTCAAAAGCAACAATGAAAAAACAAATGCTATGATCATATTGTAGTATCTGTTTCACTGCCATGATCATGCTGGAAGATGCTTATCATCTCTCAGTTATGTCTCCATTTTCAGGCAGAGTGTGGCTCAGTTGTAACTGTCTGCAGACAGAGATGCAGCTGAGGAAAATAATACTTTGAGGTGCCAAGCCCTGGGGAACAGCTGCCCAAGGATGCACCCTGTCATTGCACTAGAGAAGGGGATCAGAGGTCACCACAAAAGCTAGCACAACTAACAGTTGCAGGGACTTGGGCAACTTTTGTTCTTGACTTGAGTGCATGCACTTGGGTTCTCTACATTAAGCCTGACCTTGTGTTGAATCCTGTTTCAATGGGGAGGCATGGGTAAATACCCAAGCATTCCATAGCCCAGGTGACTAGGATCAAAGTGTTATATCTGTTCCAGCAAGCCATTGGTTATCACTCCAGGAATCTCCAGTAGGTCTCCATCTCCTGCCACTCCAGCCATACTTGCAAATGATAGGCAATAAACTGTCCTTTTTCAGGACAATGCTCTTCATTAACTGCAAAATTGTCTTTTTCAGGACAACGCTATTCTTACCCTCTATATGAATTTGCAGAGTTATTTTTTGCCTAGTGCACTGTAACATTATTTTTGCTGTGTATTTTTCTTTAACAAAAAATAAACTTGGCAATATATTTTTTCACTCAAGTCTTTGTTTTGATTCTTCAGTATCTGCAGGCTAATATATACCCATTGCAACACAACCCCCTACAATCCCAAATATGTGTTTTGGTTTTCAATAACCCAAAGTGTTCATAAGCTGTAAGAAAACAAATCAAATTTAACCACTTGGAAGCAGCTGACAAGATACAGTTCTTTATCTCAAATATTATTCTGACAATGACTCATATAGTGACTCAAGGCAATTTGTAAATTGTCATTCAATTCATTGATATAGGCTATACTGATACAGTAAGAGAAGGAAAAATGCTCGTCCTGGAGTGTCTAATGAAATGTAACTAGAAATGTCTTTCTCATCATCTTATACACCTAGTGAAATGGATATAATGATATAATTCATAGATAATGATGGATCTTTGAAAGCAGAACTGGTAAGATGTTTTGCCAATAATGATATCACACAAAAAATATTCCAAATGTTTAAATTAGTTTGTATTTTGGGGAAGGGTTTTTTTTTTTTTTTTCCTCTTTAGGAAGGTCATGAGAAAGTCATTTCCTGTAATATTTTAGCAGCTTAAGAAATCTGAAGCATATTATTAACATTTATGGCAGTTAACCAACTTTTTTAAAACTTTTCTCCACAATGTTCTGTTCAGAAAGTATTCTACCATTTGATATTAATGGAAAAAAAAAAGCCTTAGTCCTCTTCAAAGTTAACTCCTTAAGACTCCACACACATCCCTGAATAACATTCACTATTGCTGTCAAGAACAGTTTGAAAAGTTCTCATCACATTCTCTTTAATCTCATCCATGGAATTTCAACAGTAATTTTACCTTTGAGGAAAAATCAAAAGAGATGAGGGTGATTCAATTAAATGATTCTTTAACAAAAAACCTACACAAAACAATCTGTTCACTTGGTTAGAGTCAATGTGACAATTATACAATACACAAGATCAGTGAATGGTGTTTCATTAATGAGTGAGTAACCTGACAAAAGAGTGTCAGTTTGTGCACAATCCGCTTTAATTAGTTACCAAGAAATGCAGCTGGTGTTTGAGAGATTAAAATATTTCATGTGTATATATATATATATATATATATATATATATATATATATATATATATGTGTGTGTGTGTGTGTGTGTGTGTACACACACACACACACAGTGATCTCACCAAAAAATGTATACCCATTCCAGGAAAGAAAAACTTGTTTAGATATTGTAATACAAAATTTATTCAGACATCACAAGATTAATACAAATTACCTTTGTACTCTACAATCATAAGAGATGCTCAAAATGGTGCCCTTTAGCTTCCAGACATTTATTAGTATGGTGAACTACAGCTAGGACAGAACTGGCCAACATGTCCAGTTAGATTGCCGCACATGCATTTTTAATTTCTTGTCTAAGTAATACCAATGTAGTCTGTTTTCTGTGATACACAACATCCTTGGACCTGTTGATGCTACAGCCATGATGGCAATGCCATCTGCTGAGGAAATACTACAGTAAACAGTGTTATTGTAATTTGATAAAACTACAAAGGACAAGTTTTTCCCTTCCTGAAGTGTGCATGCATTCTTTTGGTGGACTGTGTGTGTGTGTGTGTGTGTGTGTGTGTATATATATATATATATATTCAATATATGAGGGTCAGTTCCTATGAACCAACAGCCCAGACACCAGCACATATGATTTCATTATAGTGGTGAAGGCTTTGTGTAGAACCAACCACACTTTTTGAAGGGCTGAATACAGAAAGCTGGTGCACTACATGCCACAAGATCCCCAAACAACCCTCAACAGGTTTTGAATTTTGAGTTGTCCTTCTAGACCAGTTGCCATCCAAGGCTATAGAACCTACAATTTACTCATAGCTGGAGGGAGAAGAGGAGGATGATTAATACCTTTCCAAAGAGTATTAGCACATAAGTGAATGTAATGAATTTGACAGAAATTCAAACTCGGCTCTCCGATTCCTCAATCCGAGCCGCTATCCACTATGCCTCCTTACTGTGCGTATATATATATATATATATATATATATATATATATAATTTTTCCCCTCAGAACAGAATTTCTACATTAAGAAAACAAAGTAATGACCATTTGTATGGAAGATCAGAAGTTATTTATGGTAACCACTGAACTTAAAAAAAATTATTCATGTCTTTATTTTATTAACTTCTCAAGCTTCCAAATAAGATTATGAAGATGAATGCATATTTCCTACACTATATTGGCATTGAAAACCTTTAGGCTCCCCTGAATGGAGGAGAGTATTTCATCAATTTCAACCTTTAAATGTGTAAAAACAAAAGCTTGATGGCAGAAAACAAGTTTAAACTTTTAAAAACAAATGTCATTTCCTAAAAGACAAGATTAAAAATTTAGGGTTCTTGATAAACATGGCAGAAATCTTTGAGATCCTGACAAAGTTAAATTATTTTGGAGTAGGGTAATATTAGTCGTTTCTATTAAGGAAACAGTTGGCATTCATTGACTGAGCAACAGTATTACTATTGATTGAAATTTATAAAATTGTTCTCTTAAAATAATTTTTCAGGAAAATAAGTTTTCCCAGTAGCTGTTATAACTCTTTCCAGCATTGATGAGGGTTTTCTTCCTAACCTTTTATTTGAAGTAGTGTGGAATTTTAACATCTTGATAATATAATTTTCTCTTTGAGTTACATATGCTATCCATTTTAGTTATTGTTTCTGTTGAAAATCTTCAAGTGGTGTGGTTTCTGTTATTTGGTACAATTCTTTCTTTGTGATTCTGTAGTGCCCGTTCACAACATCTGTAGAAAGATGACCTTTGTCAAAGCCATTTTTAACCATTGATCTTATAAAGCAGTTGTATACAGCTGACAGTTTAGATATTTCTGAACAGGTTTGGCACCATGCATGGCATCTATATTAAAATCAAAAAACATAACTCATTTTTTCAGGTTAATGTTTTGGTTTTGTAGCAATTTGTGGTATTGGGTGAAACTACCTTGTTTCCTATACAAAATTTGTTATAATTGATCTATACACCGAGTGTTTAGTATTTCCTAATTCCATATCTTGAATTTTTATCAGGATATGACTGAGATTTGGGAAAAGTGGTAAGTAGAGGTTTTTTGTAAAGAAGAAAAAGATGCTGATGGATGTTAGATTCATTATGATGCAGGCTTTCCAATGTTTATTTGTATGTGTGGCTGTGAGAGAGAAAGACAGAGACATCATTAACATATCAACTCTGCAAGGTAACTGCTAGTTTCATGCCTCAATGTGATCTTCAGGTCATGCAGTATTTGCAATATTAACTCTTATGATGACATTATCTATAACACTATTTCCGATATTGAGCATTCTTCCTCTATAAATATACTGAATTATGTGCGTGCGTGTATGTGTGTATACATTTAATTCATATAATTGTGTGTGTATATATATATATATATATATATATATATATATATATATATGTACATATATATTTATATATAATTTTAAATGTATATACATATTTATGTATATATTTAATTCATATAATTATGTGTGTGTGTACATACATATGTACGTACATTTAATTGCTAATTATTTAATTGTATATACATATTTATATAATTATGTGTGTGAATGC